GCTCATCTCCTCCCCGAGTGCCTAGTTTTACTCCATAATGTCTCCAGGTTCATCAGTGTTACGCAGTGTTTCACAGGTTCATCATCATTCTTTAATGTTGCATAATATCCCTTTATGTGTACGAGGGTAAGTAAAAAATGTGGCTACAAAATCATAGAAACCTTTATTCACCAAAAATATGAAATGAATGTTTCTCTATATCTTTCCTCTAGGTCTGGACCAGTGGTTCTCAACCTTCCTACTGCTGCAACCCTTTAATACAGTTCCTCACACTGTGGCGACCCCATAAACCATAAAATTATTTTTGTTGCTACTTCAAAACTATAATTTTGCTACTGTTATGAATCGGGTGACCCCTGTGAAAGGGTTGTTTGACCCCCAAAGGGGTTGCCACCCACAGGTTGAGAACCAGTGATCTAGACACTACCAAGGGCAATATTTCCATCTCTCTAAGCCTTTCCATCCCTTGAACTGTTGGGTAAACACTGGACTGCTAACCACAAGGTCTGTGGTTCAAACCCACCAGCTGCTCCATATGAGAAAGAGGAGGAGAGCGTCTTCCATAACAGTTTACAGCCTCAGAAATCCTACACAGGGTCACGATAAGTGGAATCAACTTGACGGTGGTAGATTTGGTTTGGTTTAACCCTTCTTTGGGAAGTACTGAGTCCTATCATTTACACATTAAAATGGTGATTTGGGCATCCATGATGCTCTCCCATCATGTTTCTTTCAAATGCTCTTTGAGATTTGAATACAAAAGGAAGTCTTAAGGGCCAAAATCGAGGCTTTAGTGTGGTTGGGTAAGATGATCAATGAACTGGTCCTAGGACAGCACTTTTGGACTTGAAGAATGATAATGAAGGCCTTGTCATGAAGGGGGGAAAATTCCTGGTACAACTTTCATGCCTTTTTCCCTCACCAATGCAATTTTCAGTTTTATTAAAACTTATACATAATAAGCCCACATTATGATCCTGTTTCCTTCAAGAAAATGTATCAAGATTATTCCCTTGGATCCTCTAAGCAGTCTAACCTTCTTAGCTGACTTATTTGCCTTGGTTTTAACTGGCTCAGCAGATCCACTCAGAAACCACAGTTCAATTAGGACTTCTTTTAAAAGACATTTGAATAAGACTCATAGTGACACTATACAGAGTTGTTTTTGTTTTTACTATATTACTGAAAAAAAGACTCTCTGCAGCCATCTGTTAGTGTAGTCGTTATGCATTGGGCTGCTAATCACACGGTCAATGGTTCAAAACCACCAGTGAGCTCCTCAGGGAAAAAAAATCAAAAAACCATGAGGCTTTGCACTCACATAAAGAGGTACAGTCTCCGAAACCCTCAAGGGAAGTGCTACTTATCCTCTATAGTGAGGGCACAGGTTAGAGTTGAGCCTCTGTCTCATCTTTTTCATTTCTTTTTTTTTTTTAATTAAAAGATCATTTTATGGGGGCTCTTACAGCTCTTATAACAATCCATACATCAATTGTATCACTTGTACATGTGTTGTACAGATGTTGTACATATCTGTACATATGTTGCCATCATCATTTTCCAAACATTTACTTTCTATCAATCCCTCGGTGTCAGCTCCTCATTTTCTCTTGAGCTTCACTCTGTACATGTGACTTCTTCCTCCACGTGACTCTTGTAGTTGGAAGGTTTCTAACCTTCAGATGGCACTGAAGCAGAGAGAATTTTGAGTGATAGTTTAAATTCTGTCCTTCTCACTTTACTGTTGTTATTGTGAGGTGCCCCTCAGACTGACCCTATGTCCAAGAAGACTAAACACTGTCTGGTGCTGCACACTCTTCACAACTTCTCTTAGGTTTGAGCCGTTCATACAGCTACTGTGCCAGCTAACCTCGTCAAGGTCCTCCTTTTAAACTGCCCCTCCATTTTACCCCACACGATGTCCTTGGCTAGGGATTGATCTCTCCTGATAACATGTTCAAAGTATGTGAGATGAACACGCACCATCTTGGCTTCCAAGGATCATCCTGGCTGGCTGGCTGGCTATCTTTCTTTCTTTTTTTGCCCGTCCCCGAGGCATTTATTGGGCAGACTGGGGTGGGAGGTCTGAGCCTAGAAGAAGGTGTTGGGCCACTTGGTGGTGAAGCGGGGCTTGTGCTGGTATCGCAGGACTCGGTGGGGCAGCGGAAACTTGATCTTGGCGTCATGGAACTGCTTGACCGCAGGCCGGCAGGCACTTGCTGACCGCAATCTCTTCCTCCTTCATGATCTGGATAGAATGGGCCCGGGCTCAGTGCCGAGCACCCATGTCATGGTCTGCAGGGAAGGAAAAACACAAAGCTCCCACATGCACTACTGCATGGTACCCATTGACTCTCACTGGGCCCAAGGGCCCACTACCAAGCTTGTCTGAGAGGCACTGCGCAGCGCCTCAAAGGCGACAAGGCCCACTTGCTGTGCACACCACTCTTTAAACTGCTTCTACGAGAAGCCACAGTCTTTGGGTGCAAGGGCTGTCTTTCTTTCAAGACAGATTTGTTTGTTCTTTTGGCAGTCCAGGGTACTTTCAATATGCTTTTCCAGTGCCACAGTTCAAATACCTGAAGTCTTCTCTGGTCTTCCCTATTCAATGTCCAACTTTCACATGCATATGAGGTGATTGAAAACACCCTCGTTTCGGTCAGGCACACCTCAGTCCTCACAGCTCCATCCTTGCTTTGCAATACACTAAGAGGTCTTATGCAACAGATGTACCAAATGCAGTGTGTCCTTTGATCTCTTGACTGTTGATTCCATGGGCATTGATCATGGATCCAACCAAGAAGTCCTTGACAAATTCAATCTGGTTTCATACAACGTGATGCTACCTGTTGGAAGAAAGATGAGACTTTCTACTCCCTGAAATGCTTACACACTCAGAACACGTAGAAACAATTCTACCTTGTCTTTCAGGGTTGCTGTGCATTGTAATCTACTCAAAGGCAGTGAGTTTGAGTTTGGATATCTATAGGTCCAGTGTAAATTTGGGGGTTTTCTGTACACTGAGTTATAATCCATACTGAAGGCTACTATCCTTGATCTTCATCAGCAACTGGTTCAAGTCCTCCTCACTTTCTGCAAGCATGGTTGTGTCATCCACATATTGGAGGGTGTTAATAAGCTGTCCTCCAATCCTGGTGCCACATTCTTCTTCATGTAATCCGGCTTCTCTGGTGATTTGCTCAGCACACAGATTGAAAAAGCACGGGGAGAAGGCACAACTCTGGTGCACACTTTTCCTAATCTGAAACCATGCAGTAGTATTCCCTTATTCTGTTTCCCACCCTGTGTCTTGATCCAGGTATAGGTTCCGCAGGAGCACAATGAAGTGTTCTGACATGCCCACTCTTCTCAAGGCTGTCCACAATTGGTTAGGGTTCACACAATCCAATGACTGTTGATAGTCAATAAAACATAAGTAAACATCTTTCTGATATTTTCTGCTCTCAGGTAAGATCCATCAGATATCAGCAATGATATCCCTTGTTCCAGGTTCTCTTCTGAATTTGGTCAACCTCTGGCAGATCCCTGTCAATATACTGATGCAAACGTTGTTGGATGATCTTTGACATTTTACTGGCATATGATATCAATGATATTATTCTATAATCTAAGCATTCTGTTGGATCACTTTACTTTGGAGGGGTACAAAAACGGCTCTTTTCCAGTCAGTTCACCAAGTAGCTGTCTTTCAAATTTCTTGGCATACATGAGTGAGTGCTTCCAGTTATTCAACAGCTTGTTGAAACTTATCCGTTGGTATCCCATCAATTCCTGGAGCAATGTTTTTGGCTAATGGCTTCATGGCAGCTGGTACTTCTTCCTTCAGTGTCATTCAGTATGACTGGTTCTTGCTCATATGATACCTCCTGAAATTGTGAGGTGTAGACTAGTTCTATTTGGTATAGTGAATCTGTGTGTTTTTCCCATCTTCTTTTGATTTTTCTTATGTCATTTAATATTTTGTCCACAGATACATCCCCTCACAGAAGGGTCACAAGGAAGGGATGAGTCAAACAGGACACAGTACAGCACCGATGAAACACAATATTCTTCTGGTTCCTTGAGGCTTCCTCACCCTCCACTATCATAACCCCAGTCCTGCCTTTCACTGCGGGCTACACCAGAGCATGTGCATAAGTGCAAATAAGAGATAGAGCTCATGACACTCGGAATCCAGGAACAGGAATGGGAGTGGCGATATCAGAAGGGAAAGGGGAAGGTGGGGAGAGGTGGGGAGGAAGAAGGAACAAATTGCAATGATTGACACATAACCACCACCACTACCTCCTCCCAGCCCTGGGTCATGGGGATGAAAACAGAAACCATGGGGAAAGGAGACAGCGGTTGGTATCAGATATGAAAATAACAATGTATCCTTTTTCAAGGGGGGAGAGGGAAAGAAAAAAGAGGAGCTAATATTAAGGGCTCAATAGAAAGTAATAATGATGGCAAAATATGTACAAATATGCTTGATACAATTGATATATGGGTTTTTATAAGAGTTGTAAGAGACCCCAATAAAATGATCTTTTAATTTAAAAAAATTGTCCATAGACTCTTTCAAGACTGCAACTCAAGATTAATTATTTTCTGGTGGTTTTTGTTGTTGCTCTTAAGTTTAGGATATACTGGGCATGTTCTTCATTTGTAATTCTTCAACCCTAGGTCTTTTCAGGTTTCATGTAAAGTAATGTAAAATATTATTGACTGGGCATATTTTAGTTTGCAACGAAATGCGCAAAGACCTAGATGAAGATCAAGGAGTGCAGCCTTCGGTATTAATTACAACTCAATGTAGAGAAAACCCAAAACCTCACAGCTGGACCAATAGGTAACATCATGATAAAGAGAGGCACGATTGGCGTTGTCAAGGATTTAGTCTCACTTGGATCTGCAATCAATGCTCATGGAAGCAGTAGTCAAGAAATCAAACCATGTGTTGCATTGGGGAAATCTACTGCTCAAGACCTCTTTAACGTACTGAAAAGCAGGGAGGTTATGTTGAGGACTAAGGTGTGCCTGACTTAAACCATGGTAATACTCAATGCCCTCATGTGCCTTTGAAGGTTGGATATTGAATAAGGAAGACTGAGGAAGAATCGATGCATTTGAATTGTGGTGCCGACAAAGAAAGAATATGGAAGGTACTGTGGACAGCCAAAGGACAAACAACTCTGTCTTAGAAGAAGTATGGCCGGAGTGCTCCTCAAAGGCCAGAGGGTGAGATGAGTCTCCCACACTTTGGGCAGTTGTCAGGAGAGATAAAGGACATCATGCTTGGTAAAGTACAGGGACAGGGAACAAGAGGAAGGCCCTTCAAGAGCCGGCTTGGCCCCGTGGCTGCAGCCCCGGGCTCCAGCATGGGGACAGTGCCCAGGCTGGCGCAGGCTTTATGCTCTCTCACTCAGCTGCACACGGGCTTCCTATGCATCGAAGGGACTTGACCGCTCCCCTCAACAGCCACGTTCCCCCTAATCCTCTCCAGCTGCCCTTCCCAGTGTCCTGCTTGGCTCTTCAACTTGATCATTTCTTTCATTTGCCTTAGCTACGCTAGAATTAAAAGCAGTTTTCAGAATATCTTCTGACATCCACTTTGATTTCTTTCTTTCTTATCTTTTTATTTTTTAAATCATTTTATTAGGGGCTCATACGACTCTTATCACAATCCATACATACATCAGTTGTGTAAAGCACATTTGTACATTCATTACCCTCATCATTTTCAAAACATTTGCTCTCCACTTAAGCCCCTGGCATCAGGTCCTCATTTTTCCCCCTCTCTCCCGGCTCCCCACTCCCTCATGTGAACCCTTGATAATTTATAAATTATTATTTTGTCATATCTTGCCCTGTCCAACATCTCCCTTTGCCCACTTTTCTGGTTGTCCGTCTCCCAGGGAGGAGGTCACATGTAGATCCTTGTAATCAGTTCCCCCTTACCAACCCACCCTCCCTTCACCTTCTTGTTATCGCCATTGACACCACTGGTCCTGAAGGGATCATCCATCTTTCGTATCTTTTGAAATAAACATTTGCTTGCTTCAAGTACATTATTCGTGATGTCATCTCACAGGTTATTGGTTTTTCTGTCATTAGTGTGTGTGCTGCATTACATCTGTGTTTCTTCCTGACTTTCTGGCAAATTCTCAATGAAGCCTGCCACCTCACTGCATGTGTGAAATCAAGACTGCCATTGTGGTCTGCAGGGTTGATTTAAAGTTTTTGGAATTTGGGGGGTTTTGTTTTAGACGATCTTTCTCATCTGTGTGTTAGGCAGGGTTGTTTAGAGAAACAGGCCAATAACACTCATTTATATTAAAGTAAGAGTTGTATATCAGGAAGTAATTACATATCAAAAAATCATCCGAGCCCAGTCCAAATCAAGTCCAAAAGTCCAACGTATTCCATTGTGAGACTCATTTAGCTAGAGGCAGGTGATGTAGAAAGGTGAACCAGGAAACAGGAAGATCATAGGCCAGTGGTCACAGAGTCACATGGATCCAAGTTCAATTGGAATATGGTAGGACACTAACATGTCTCAGGGTGAGGCAGCCCCTGAAGGCAGGTAGAATTCCAGCAGGCAGGAAGGTCTGCAGAGAGAGAGAGAGAGAGAGAGAGGTTCCTAGCTTCTCTTATAAGGCTCTCATCTGATTGATAGGTTGGATTCTACTCATACACTGTCATAAAAATTCAAATTGACAGATATCATCTATCATACTCAGTAAGTGGTTATTGTACACGTGCCATGGCTCTCATGAGGTTAACTTACCCTCTCTTCCTGGCTTTTTGTTCCAGTTGCATAATGGCGTACTGGAGCTCTTGACATTTGAGTAACTTGACCAAGAAACTCTCCAAAACAACCCCCCAGTTCTATCAGTAAACCATTTTCAAAATACGTAACTCCTCTGACTCTTCAAGGAAAAAATATCACCTTCTTTTGTAATTTGTTTTCAAGTCTATATTTGTCAATTTGTATTGCAGAATATATATACTTCTAAAATTTGAAGTTAACACATGTATTTTATCATTCCATAGTTCAATCACATCAAGCAGTATTGTACAATTGCGACTACAATCAGTTTTCAAACATTCTTTTCCTTCCTGGACTCTTTGACATGAACTCCCTTTTACACCCCCACCCCCACCCCCCGCCCTCCACCACCACCACCACCACTGTACTGCCAGGAACCCTTTATCTACTTGCCATCCCTATAGGTTCATCAATCCTGGGTTTCATATACTGAAAAATGGAAAAACACATATAACACAAATCCAAGAGGGTGACCCCCAATGACATAACACACTGAGATAAACCCTAATATGAAAAAATATATATAGAGAGAAAATGTTGCGCCTGCATCAGAAGGGAGATCAACAGACAAGGTTTGAACTTCAAGTCAGGTTTTCCCTTTGATCTTCTCCACTGATCTTTCAATGCGCCCTGTTGAGTGACCACTTTCCTCCCACCC